ACCACCCCCCCTTGCCCCGCCCCCGCCCCCTCCCCCCCCCCCCCCCCCCCAGCCGCTCCCCGCCGGTGCCCTGCTGCGATGCCCTGGTGCAATGAGCCCAGGCCAGCACCGACGCACGGGGATGGAGCAATGTGTCTGAGGCTGCAGGGCCGGACTCTGGTAATGGGTCCCCAGTGCCACTCCCCACTCTCGTGGCCCTAATGACCAGCCCCACGTGGCGGCTGCTCCTCTCACCCCGGCTGGGTGAGGCTCTGGGTGCTCAGACCTCCCCATCTCACCTGTCCCTCCTCCCTGCCTTCCCCCAGGGTGGGTTTGCAGCTGCATCCCTCCCGGGGATGCAACCTGCAACCTGCATCACCGGCTGGGGAGCAAAACGAACCGGCTGCCAGGCAGGATCCTGCCCCAAGCCCACGGCACAGACACCCCGCTGAATTAGCCAGTGCCCCGGTGCTAAGGCAGCTCCTGGGGTCCCCAGCAGGCATTTGGGGAGCAGCAGCTTGGCCAGCCCTTCCCCCAGAGCCCGTCCCCTTTCCCCAAAAGGAAGAGAATGGCTCCAGATTTAATCTGGGGTCCTTGAAATCCCAGACACGCTGCTGGCACTGGCAAGTTGGAACAGGACGAGCGGTGGCACGGCACCGGGGGCCTCCCCACGGGGGTCCCAGGGCCCTGGAAGGGTGGTGCAGGCTCCCGCAGCCCTGCTCCCCCCACCCTGCCTTGGCACCCCTGCACCCAGGGCGGGATGCTGCACCCCTGACCCTGCTCCTGCCACCCCGGCTGGGTTTAGGGACGGGCACCACCCGGCACGTCTCCTAGGGACGCTGGGTTGTCCCCTCCCCTGTGCATATCCCAAAGGGCTGGATGGCTTTCCTCGCTCATGGGGAAATCTCACAGAGGAAAAAGCTCCATCTTCCCCTCTCCACCTCGATGCTTCCCCGGGGGTGTAGGGAAAACCTGCTTTTCCAGAGCCATGGGGCTGGTTCCACACCCAGCTCCCAGCCCAGGAGCCAAGAGGATGGGCTCCGGACTGGAAGGGAACAGGATTGCTACCACAGCCCCGGCGCTTACCGGTGACCCCGAGCGCAGGGTGCCTGCTCTGCTCCTCGGTTGGGTGACCATGGCCATGCAGAGGGGGGGCACCTGCTCAGAGCTGTGACGTGATGTTTCCCAGCAGAAATAGGGCCGCGAGAGCAGCGTCCCGGACTCACTGCCTGTAAGCGCAAGGCTTGGAGCTGCCTAGGACGCTTGGCTAGAAAATCGCGGCGTTGCTTTGGGCTGGGCGCTGCAACCCCACCGGGCCACCTCTGCCTCTGGGGACGGTCCCCTGCATCCCTGCCCTGGGCCCTGCCCACGTCTCCGGAGCGCGGCAGCCACCCAGCATGGCTTCTCCTGCAGGTACAAGGTTGTGCGCCTGGTCTGCGAGCAAAGACGGAGGCACTCCCCCTGCCTCTGCCTACAGGGTTAATACCTCTTAGTTTTGAGCAACTGGTTTCAATTTGGGTGGTGTTAGAGCAGCCGGGACAGCGCTACCAGGGAAAGCTGGGCAGCGGGGGGCAGCCGGGGTGCTGAGCCTCATCGGGGCGGCTGGAGCAGGCAGGGGTGAGACGTGCGGTGCAAGGAGCCACGCTCAGACCTTCGAGGCTTTTTAAAAAACACGCGTCAGCTCCCGCTCCCCTCTGGAAGTGACTCACGAGTGCAAAACAACAACAAAAACCACCCTCGGATTTTTTTTGAGACAGAAACCATGCTGTCGTGTAAACACCCCGAAAATATTACTCACAGCATCCCAGAGCCCTTCAAGGAGTCTCTTAGAGAAAAAAAAAAAAAAGTATGGTTTAGATTTAGGAAAGAAAAACGCCGGCCGGCTGACCAGGGGCTGGGGCGCGTTTGTCTCTTTTTAAGTCAATCTTTGTCAGAGGAAACGCAGCCTCCGAGCCGTGCCGTACCCTCTCCCGTAGCTGGAAACAGATGGGCCCAGTATGGCCCCCACTCTGCCACGCTCTCTTCCACCCGGCCGGGGACGGGCATGGGCCCCACGCGGCAGCTCCGGCCAGGGATGCTGAGAGGACCCTCCCTGCCATGGGGATGCCACCGGGTACGGCCCCCCGCGCCAGAGCCTGGCGCCGCAAA